CCAGCAATGAGGAAGAGCACAGGAGGTGTAATTCAGGAGACAGAACAAAGAATGGGATAATCAGTTGATAGGGAGCAGATGTGGACAGAAGTAACTAGAAGGGAGCTAGGGGAAAGGAGACTGGCACAGGGGGGCAATAGAGAGTAACTAAAAAAATTAAAAACTGCTTAAATATAACTAGAAAACAAGTAGTATGGCACAAAATGAAAAAAAAAAAAAACTAATGACCAAGAAAACACAGAATGACCAAAATCAAAGTGCAACTTTAAACTAAAAAAGAAACTTAAGCAGAAGCAAAAAGTCCACAAATAAAAGAATGATGACAGAAACTGATTTGGGACCTTTTCCTCCAAACCAGTAGCACTCCTTGACTGGTTGTAGTGGACCTACAGTAAGCTCCAGCTCCGAGAATATTCTGAGTGCTACAACAGCAGACCTCTGCAGTTTAGCATTGTTTTTATTCAACAAAACAGCAAAATAAAAAAAAATAAAAACACTTCAACAACAATAAAATGTGATCAGAATAAAAGATGCAAACTGCAGAGCTCAAAGGTTGCTCTCTCACGGTTGATATATTTCCCACTGAAACCTAAATCCGGAAATAAATGCTAATATTCTTTGTCTTTTTATATCTCCAGGTGATACAAATAAATAATGCTCTATAAGCTGGAAGAAGGATCAGCTTATTAGCATTATGCTGACAAGCACCATGGCTGGTTAAAACGGCATTTTAAGGCTACTGGTACAAATATTATTTGTGGGTCTAAATTGTCTCCAACCAATTTGGCTCTTGGTTGATAGAAAAGTAAGCCAGTTCTTTTAAAGAACTAGTTAAGAATTGGTTTGAGCATCAGGCCCAGTGAAGAACTGGAACCTCTGTGGTCCATCGGAGGCTGAAAGGTCATACAGGCAGAGCTGCAACAGAATATCTTACATCAGGACTGTCTAAACTGGGGGTTGGGGTCTCTTGGGATGCAGACGGCTAAATAAATAAATTTACCATGAAATAAATTGATCCAACATTTATTTATCTACTACACGATAAAAATAGGAGGAAAAAAATCTCTACCTCTCCCCTATAAAATATGAATTCCAATTTCTTTATGGAACAGTTTTTATGGGGTGGGGATTGGAACAAATAAGCAATTTCCCCTTAGTATTTTCTTTAGTTTGGATGATCTGGTAATAATTTCCTTTATGAGTCAGAAAATGCAATCTTAAAACTATTTTTTAAAATATAAATACATGTTTTAGACATTTAGAAGTTAAAGTTGTCACTTTTTTCCTTTTACATCTTTAAAAAAATAAATGCAGTATGTTATTTTATTTATCGTTGATATGAAATAGGAAAATGAGCAAATGCATATAAATGAGCAATGAGCATTTTATGTATGGGTAAAACAAACCCTTCAGTTTTCACTTTGAAATTACAGAGTAAATACTATTTTGATTATCATTTCAAGTAGGGCTGTAACAATTGATTGGATTAATCATCATTAATCGATTATTGAAATAATCGTCAACTAATTAATAATCAATTAATTGTTAACTGGAGTTTAGAGACTCTAAAACATGCCTTTAGCTCACAGTGCAACAGACCTTGAGCAGCAGCCATACCAGCATTGTAAAAAAATATATCTTGCATTTAAGATAAAAAATCTTTTTCATTTGTCAATATGCTCTATAGCCAAAACTCCAAAAGTGCAGACGTTTTAGTTTCACCTGGTTAAATTTCATAAAAAGCCTTCTTTAAAAATCCTTTTTATGTCCAATTATCAATTAATCAAAAAATAATTCAACAAATTAATCAATTTGCAATCATAGTTGTAGACCTAATTTCAAGTAATTTACAAACAGAGCAGTCTTTTAGAAGAAAGTGAAAACGCAGTATGGAGAATTAATTTAGCTTATTTTAAAATTAAAAAGCATTTCAATTAATCAATTTAATGAAATAGTTGGGACACATTTACTTACATTAAGAAATCAGCAAAAAAATGTTGCATAGATGCAGAAAGCTGATAGAAAACATACTCAAAGACTCAAAAAGGCAGTTCTACATGCTATGACTCAATATAAAAGAACACCATTATTTTTCATTTCTTAAAAAAATCAAACATATTGATTCCTTTCCACTTTGCAAAGATCCACAAATTATATCAGATTATGGATCAGATTCAATAAATTTCAAGGTTGAACATGAGAAGTTGTCTAAAACTTCAAATAATCAAAAGTCCTGTCCCTCAGGATCAACGCTTACTGTATCACCATGTTTGTCATTTCTCCTGGTTGACTTTGCTGAATTTGTCTTCAGAATAAGGACAAAAACAACCTCTTGGCAAACCTTCATCACATTTACATTAACGGTTATTAATGTGCACCGTCTAAATGTGAGATGCCAAGAAATTAATCAATTGCGTTGACTTTTTATTCATTATAAATGCCTTTATTCAGCACAAAAAAGTAAATCTTAGCCTCCCAGTCAGGTTACTGTGTCACTGTTAACAAGGCTAAATGAGCTGAGCGCTCATCAGATCAGAATAAACAGTCAATAAATCCTCAGTAATAAATGGATTTTCCCCTCCAGGAGCTTTAACTTTCAGGCTGGATAAATGGAAGGTTAACACAACCCATGAATACTTAAAAGAAGATGAGCGAAGCCCGGACATACAGACAGAGCATCGGAAGCTGCTCCAGCGCACATCTGTACAGCTGGAGGGGTTTAGAGAAAAGCTCCTGAAGAGGCTGAGGTGAGACTGACCTCATTTTATGAGTCTCCCCAGTTAAGCAGCATGACCCTTGTGTAAAAAAAAAAAGCTGGAGGAAATTGAATAGTTGACAACAGTAACAGTACAGACGTCAAGTTTGCTACAAATAATTCTGGAAATATAATACAATGCCTTTTAAAGGCATGAAACTGACCAAAATAGTAACTCATAACCGTGTGTATTTACTGAACACGGGCATTACATTAAATAAGTTATGATAGAAGTCTTGTCACATTCATCATACTGAACCAATTAACACGTTTTACTAAAGAAACTACGAGTGAATGGTAACTAGAAGTAAATAATTTATTTTTTGTTTGGTGACTGAATTGTAGGAAACTCAAAAATCCAACGTTTCTCCAATCATTGAATAGATGTCAGTTCTGACTGATAGGTAGTGATGTTACGGCCAACACTGAGGATTCAATGCACTGTTTAAACTCAGTGGGGTAGTTATGGTGAAGCAATGAGTCGGAGCTTGCTTAGCGTGAAGTCATTGATGACGTTTGACACCTTTACTGGTTCATTCAGACCAACTCAGCTGACTGCTGCAAAGCAGGGCTTTGGACATTTGACACAACTGGCGCATTTAAGATGGCTCCAAACTCTATCCAAATCTTTACCAACCAGCACCTTATCGCAGCAGTCTATTCTGTTCCCTGTGAAAGAGAAATTTTTTCAAACAGGACAAACCCAAAATGTTCACTTTGTTTATGAATTATTTTTTCATAAGAGCTCCTGTCATTACCTGTGCTCTCCAGGAAGCAGCAACCTCAACTGCGCTGCACCCGCCCAGTAAACACTCTCTCCAATGTGAGATAAAGCGCAATCATTCCTGCTCTAAGTTAAGCTTAAATGGTTCTATTAGCAGCTTATCTACCCAGTTATAGTAGCTGTCTTTTAAGGGCCAATATCTAAGTTGTGATAAAGTGTTTTGTGGCTGTGAAAAGTCTGGGAATTTGTTCAGCCTTCGTAGAGAAAAGTCTGGCCGCCGCAAGGAGTGCCGACATTCCAGCGAAAGGCAACTAACAGATATTATAAAAAATTAAAACTATGTCAGGCCAAAGGCAATA